GCGCGGCAATCGGGCTGTTGCTAAGTCAGGTGTTTATACCAAACATTAAAACATACCTTAAAACAGCCGAGGTGAAAAACGCGGCGGGACCTCTCTCTCTCTCCTCTCTCACTGACTTCTTGTCGCCCTGTTAGTCTGCTGGTAGTCTGCTTCAGTCTCTCAGTGCCTGGTGTCTGTCTGACAGCGGGTAACTCGCAGTCCTGCGGGGTTTCTCCTGACCCTCCCACCACTCCCAGTCCACACCAGCGATCCCACCGTGTCACAGCTGTGGCTTCTCGCAGACTGCAGCCTCAGCAGAGGACCCTCCCCCTCTCCTCCTCCTCTAGTAGTTCACCAGTACAGTCATGGTGCTACACACTTAGTCATAATAATATGTCAGTGGTGGAATGGCAGATGGCGGTGTTAATGTAAATGAGTAAAAAAAAACACTTTAAGCGTACGGTTTTTACTGGGACTCAGTTCCCCTAAACCCTCTCGGGGAGTGGCGTGGTAATTTCCACCTTCCTTTTCTGTCAGAAAAAAGGGCAGAGCGGCCCCGCATTTACCAGGAAGTTCAGCAAGAACCCATCCCACATCTCCTGCATGAGTGGCACGGTTTATTTTAGACGAGCCACGCACCATGTCGTCATTGTTTTCTCTACAAACATGTAACCAGGCAGCCTCGTTATCTTATTGTCTAATGGACGGGAAGCGCTGCGGCTTTGTGAGGGCACGCTTTGCAAGCTTTCAAAGCCCCCCTTCGTGCAGGGACAGTAACAGTCTGGCTCCTACATATCAAAAACGAAATTGCATTCAAAATATATATAAATGTATATATTTTCAGTCAAAATCAGTCAAACACCTCTAAACTTTTACAACTGCTTCATCTGACTGTTTCAACCACAGGCTGTGCACAAGCATGTAAAACATCCTTAAAATAACCAGATGTGTGAACGAGTCATTTGTCTCTTCTTCTTCTTCTTCTTCTTCTTCTAACTCAGCTGCAAATTACAACATAATTGCAGCATAAAGTGCCAGAGTTGCATCAAACTGCTCTCATTACTGGTGATATCAGTTTCAAAGAGTTCTCGTACCCTCTACCGTCAATAGCGGTGCCACTGCAGCTTCACACTGACGCTGCAGAGAGAGAGAGAGAGAGAGAGAGTGTGTGTGTGTGTGTGTGTGTGTGTGTGTGTGTGTGTGTGTGTGTGTGTGTGTGTGTGTGTGTGTGCAGAGCTCCTCCTTGTTGAGCAGGAGAGTCAGTCTCCTTCATGACAAGCCAGTTAATATGAGGGTGAGGCAATTGATTTGAAATAGTCATCATTAGTGAACTAACGCTTTTACATTCTCTCTAAATGTCTACAGCAGTAATGGAGTCTGGTTTGGGAGGGATTTTTTTATATATATATATATAATGTGCAAAACAGTTTTATTTTCACTATGATTTCCCCCACTGGAATTCCCAATGACAGAAATAATGATGTTAATGTCAAAGTTCAATGTACTTTTACGCAGAGTATCCTCCAGTATCCTGCTCAAATATGACTCCAATACCAGTGAAAGTTGTTCAGTCAAAATACTTGAGTTTAAGTACCAGAGTGCTTGATTTTAAAGCACATTTTTATGTGAACACATTCTTGTATTTACAGAACCTAATGAACATGTAGAATAAAAAGCTTGTAGAATATGATACAAAGCCAATAGAAAAAGCCATAAAAACACAATTGAACCAACAATTAATAAATTGCCGTTTCATATTTCTTTTTTGAAGTTTGGTCGTGGTAAACACAGCAGGCATTTAAAACAATAGGAATCTTTCTTTATTCCTAAATGTTTCAAACACAGACTCCAGATCAGACCGTGGTGGTCTCTGGTGAAGGATCTTCTCCTCATCTGACGTCACCATCATTAGGACACTGACAGGCTCAAACATGACTGACAGGGCAGGAGTTGGCTGTGATTGGTTTTTCTCCTGTGATGAACACAGTGTAAGGTCTGTCACGTTTTCAAAATAAAAGAAAATGCATTGCTCTGACTGAAAGCTCTGCTTCAAAGTAAGAGTCCTTCATAGAAATGTAGTGGAGTCAAAAGTACAACATTTCTCTTTTAAATGTAGTGGAGTAAGAGTCATACGTTTACAATAAAAATATACTCAAGTAAAGTATAGATACTCGAAAAATATATTCAAGTTCAGTACTCAAATAAAAGTACTTTGTATACTGCATATCAAGAATGAAAGTCAGAAACTACTACACAACAGATTGCTGTGATTTCAGACATTGCAGAGTTACGTAACGTGTTGTGTCCCAGTGAAGGTGACCTCAGCCAGCTGGTCAGCTGGCTGTCACTGTAGTATGTCTGCACTGCCAGACGGGGGGGTGATCGATTCAACAACCCACAGCCAATGGCATTCACACACACACACACACACACACACACACACTGAACCACACACACACACACACACAAGCACATGCACACACAGGTTGTATCCTGTTGACAAGGCAACGTTAGATAGACAGAGTGTACTGGATGGAAAGGCCCATCATGGCACCGACCCCCTCCACTTCTGAGGAACCAAAAGCAGGAAACATTGCCCTAACTTTAGCTGCACTTTACTTAATGTTTTCATTTGTTTTGGAGCGACTTAATTTTCCTGCTTTAACTTAGCAAAACGTTAGTTGTAACACTTCCAATTTCTCCAATCAGGGACAAGTTATGAATCACCTGATTCACTTTTTACCTGCTCAATGTAGTCCTTAATCCACAGGTGAGGAGGAAGCACCCTGCGGCAGACACAGCTGATTTTAGAAGCAAAAAAACTCATTTTAAGGTAAGAAAGTTTGTTGTTTTCTTTACTTCATTTATTTTTCTAATAGCTCTGCTCTGTAGTTAAACTCTTCGAACATATGTCATGTTTACTGTGAGTCTATGTAGATGTTTTTCATGCTAGCTGACAGTGCTAATATTTTAGCTATTAGCTGCAAGTTAAGCTATAGTTAACGGCCACAAGAGTCTGGGTTAATTGTAACAACACACACACACACACACACACACACTAATTATGTTAAAAAAAGTCCTTTAAATGTTGAATAAAAAGCTTCAATATCAACTTTTTCTCATAATCCTTAAATCATAATGTCATATTTCACCCCAGTTTACACCGACACCATGTAACAGCAGACACACATGCAACTGGTTTGTATAAACTTTTGAACACACTGGTTTAAAAGATACAGACGGAAATGTCTAAAATGTTACGACCATCGCTTGTCATTCCCCCCTACACCTGATTTCAACATTTCTGTGAATTACATAAGATATAATGCAGGACAAAGATCCATTTGGATGCTAAAATGACCCTGACGCACACACACACACACACACTCACACACACACACAGGTTTCACACACATCCAGACACGCAGGGTGATTTGACCTTGTAGGAATGTGGGAAGAGGAAAAAAAAAAAATGAAGCTGTGTACTGGAATGTCTTTGTCGCTTCCTCCCGTCCAGGCTACAGTACATTCCTCACCTCCCCAATCATCACGGACCGGCCAGCAGCAGGCTGCATTAACCACACAGCATTCCTCTTACTATACATCCTAATCTGGTGTCGGCCCACGCCGGACTGTACCAACCTCGTACTAATGGGAGGATTGATTTTGAAGAGGCCCACTCCCTTCATTCCTCAGCTATAGTTTATATAGATATTAGACGTCAGCTGTCTTTATTACTGCCCTCCTACACAAGGATATGATGTTTACAACACGTGTTAAAATGCTTAGGATCAATTTCTGTTTCTGTTCCTGCATGGAAACATCGCCATGGCAACAGTGCTGAAGCTACAGGCAACAAGTGATCAACGAGATTTCCACAGTTAAAAATGTGTGTAACTTTAAAGAGGTGCTCCGGTGATTTAGTGACAAAAAACCAGAGGTAGCAGAATGCAGCTTTCAGTCAGTGCTAGTAATGTGGGAAATGCCTTGCAGCTAACTTTGGCAAACCTGCTGTCAGTGGGGTTTTTTTTTTGGGAGGTGGGGGGGGGGGGGGGTGGGTTTTGGCCACTTGGGGGCAGCGGAAACAAGCTGTAAACACAACACTGACACAAGTTATGGTGAAGTTGTTAGTGAACACATCCAGCAGACGGCATTCATCTGGAGTCGCTCCTCTCTCACCTCGGGTTGAGTCTCCACTAACCTCTTAGAAATATCTGGCTCTTTAGCTGCTAAATGCTGCACTGAGTTCACGTGCTAATCGCTAACATTGTTGAAAGCAGTTTTCTGGGATTTTAGAGACAAAAACAAACTGAAAACAGCTGCTTGCTGCTGGATACGACTCTGATGAGCGCGGTGAGAGTCATCCAAAACAATACAGCAAGTTCAAAGACGTTAAAACACTCTGCAGAGCTCAGAGGAACTGCAGAGTGAAGCTGTAATTCTCTGTGGGAAACATCCTTATTACAGATCCATTGTTGATATAAAAATATTGATCATAGCAGCTTTAAAATGCAGCCGTCTGAAGGTCTGCGCTGGATTCTCATATGCTGAGGCAGGAATCAGTTTCACTGCTTTTTCTATAAGAGAATAGACCGACAACATCTTACCTGCACTGTATGTTTAAAGGTACAGACCTTTAATTTGTAATTTATATTTTTAAATGCTGTGAACTTTGTGTGTGAACATCTTTTCAGCAGGATTCCTGGTATAGACGATATATTCAATATTATAAGAGGCAGCTCATTTTAACACGTATAATTAACTATGAAAAAGCTCTGAGCCAAATGAGATTTAAACTTATTTACTAACCACAGCCTTTCTGATTCATCAATGAAGTTCACAGTGTAACGGAAGCAATTTACACTTCTTAAAATACGTCAGTGTTTCTCAACATCATCCCTCTGGATGCCTCACCTGCGCCAGCATCAGTTTCTACAAACTGAGCTGAATAAAAACCCATTAAAGCGAAGGACGAGTGGGAAGATCTGACTTCAGATCTGTGTGTCAGTGTGTGAACTGACCTTGCAGCTGTGGCAGTAGTTTTCTCCATTTTTCCCCGGGGAAAGGATGATTTCCCCCGTTGGGATGAGTTGGATCGTGAGTTCCATCATGATTCCCTTTTTCTCTTCTTTTCCCGTCCCTTTTCTTTTTTTATTTTTCCTCCAAAAAAAGTGATTCTGTCTTGATTTGTTCTTTATGTTCCTTTCCCACTTTGTCACGAGAGACAGAGGAGAAATATTACAGCTCTCCCCTCAGGTCCGTTTGCAAATCCTTAGCTCAGGCAGGGTGGAACGTGCTTAGAAGACCATCCCAAGTGACACCTGAAGAGCAAAACGTTAGCAGTTAGAGTCAGTCATCAGATATACATCGCAACCTCTCTCCTAAATCCACGTGAACAGAAACACTTTAACTTTCCAGCGGGAGCTCCCACCGAACAGAAAAAAATCTTTACTTCCTGGCAAAAAGATCAAAAAGTGGAAAGCAGTGATTTGGAGATTTTTGAGCCCTGGCGCAGAAATGTGGAGTTGGGGTGTTACCTGTCGCAGAGCGGAGAGTCTCAGTGAGGCCAGCTTCCCCTCGCTCCAGCCAGAGGATGTAGCCTCTCTGGTCGAGGGATCATGGGGAGGATATGAAGCTCTGACTGGAGATGGATGTCACATGCAGAGGATATGTGTCTTTTGTCTTACTGGAGTGTGCGTATGCATGAAAGGATGAAAGTAGGGAGTGGTGAACACATTTGTGTCTTCAATGAAAATATTATATAATGCTGTAGTTTCTGTGTAAAGTCTTGGTGAATTGATTTTATATATATATACATATATATATATATACAGTGAGTACTCTAGGTTAGTGGTTCCCCAGATGGCAGAGTAAATCCGGCCCATACTTGGGCCACATGCTTGTTTTCTTCTGGCCAAGTATAGGCCCAGTTCCACGGCCCGAATCTGGCCCATACACAGCATGATTGTCAGATGCTACTTCCACATTTGGACCAATTCTGGTGCACATGCAGTAAATCTTCCGGCTGTCAGAGAATACCGGACCATTTAGCCAAACTTTAAGTTAGCTTATTGTTTATTTATTCCTTTTTGATATCTACTTTAACCACCACCCACTTTAGCTGAACATTTAACCAATTATGCATTATTTCTATTTAAAGCTAACTATTATACCCTTACACCGTACACACACACACACACACACACACACACACACACACACAGGGCTGGTCTGAACTGAGTTTCCTTCTAGAAACCAGCATCCTGCCCGAGACATTCCCAGTACCCACCCAGTAGATTTAGTGTGTGTGTGTGTGTGTGTGTGTGTGTGTGTGTGTGTGTGTGTGTGTGTGTGTGTGTGTGTGAGTGATATGAGCATGTTTGTATGTGTGCATGGCGGAACCCGCTTCCCTCAGGATACACAAGCAAGAGACACGCGTCTGCACCACACGCTTTCTAAAAACAAATAAGGGGCTTGTGCTCTCATAGCAGTGCGCTTCCTGTCCCCAAGGACCCAACTAACCAAGGCCTTGACACTTCACATACAACAAACACGTGAACACACACACCATATTTATGGAGGGATCACTCTGGTAGATGAACATATTTCATCTGGATAACCTTCCTGAACCGTCGGATCCCTCCCTGCATTCCTGTGTGCTAAATGCCAGCATAGATCCAGTTACTTGCATCATGCAATGTGGCCTGGGTTGAGCATTTCATCATAATTTGCGTGGGGTGAGATTTGTAGTAAAGTGGCTAAAGAAAAATGCAGCTTTAGAGCAGTGGCTCCCGGTGTTAGCGGTGAGCACCTCCTGCAGGGTTCGTGAGATACGTCTGCAGGATGATGAACAGGACAGGAAAACGGAAAAGCAGAAAGAAAATTGTTTATTTTCAAATATGTTTTACTCAAATTTGAGGATCACTTTTTAATTTGACCTCTTCAGGCTGCAAAACATTATTCAAATAAACCAAATAAATCAAAAGATTACAGAATGTTTTGGCTGTTTTTACATGTAATATATCAAGTTAAGCTTTAAGAATGTGTGCAGCTTCCCCACTTATTTATTTATCTCTTCCAATTATTCTTTTCTTATTTATATTTAATACTATTTTAATACTATTTTTCTCCAGGTACTAGTTCTAATCTTTTCTTGAACTCTTGTCTGACTCGACAGTAATGAGGTCTCACCAGTGAACACAGCTTTGCATTAATGAGGTCTGGGTAGAAAATGGGTTGAAAGCCACTGTTACGGAGAGTTGGACTATAAGAGGTTGTGTTTGTTTTTAGTTTTTTGATTAACCTTCCTGATGTTGCCAGATGTGGTTTCTGTGACATCAGCGCTGCAGCTGCAAAGCCTGAGTGATGAACTTTCGTAGCTTAAACAAGTCAAGATTTAAACTGGATGTTTTGACCACATGCACCGAGAGGACCAATGATTCTGGAAGATTTTACAATGTTTTTTTAAGCAGGATTTTTGATATTAAACATTGAATTTTTGTGAGATTACACTTCAGAAAGTGATTCTTATTGAAACGTGTCTCGTCTGAATAAATATTAAATGAGCAGCGCTGGTTAAAAAGAAGGAGAAATGCCTTGAACTTGCATGTTCTACCAAGGAATGAGTGTGGCACAGCGTTTGTGTGCTGCTGCTGGTGAGAGAGGGGAAGTGACAGTGACACACATCCTTTGACCTCTGACCCCAGCTGGAGGCATTCCTGACAGCCGGGCATCAACAGGAAACCAGTGGCCTTGACACACACACACACACACACGCACACACACGCACACACACACACACACACACACACACACACACACACACACACACACTCCATTCTATTTTAAAATAAACACATAATTTGGAGATGATTGGCTTCCAAGAAAGGTTCACTATTTTTTTTTTTTACTACGAATTGAAAGTGAAGTGAAGTGAAACGCGGTGACCTGAACACGGATCACTGTAGTGAAGGAATGAGGAGAGAGATTTCAGAGATACATGTTTCTTTAGCTGTAAATTCATATTCACAGTTGCAGACATTCATGTGAAGCTTTTTAGTGGTTTATTTTACAGGTTGTATGCAAAAATGAAAACCATCCACCTGATGCCAAAACATCTTACAGTGAGGAATTTGAATGCTGATCCAGTTCGGAAAGAGGACGTTGTTCTTACGGTAAATTCATGTCACACGACGGTTGTAAAATCGTTTGTTTACCTGCTCTGCTGTCCACAACATCACGTCTGTTCATACTGAGGAAACTACCTTTCACTTCCTGTGGAGAAATACTCTCGGGGGGGCCAGTACTGGATGACAGGTCAAATGTCACTTTGTCACTACAACGTTACAACAGGTGACTCATGTCGTAGCTGATGGTGTGTGTGTGTGTGTGTGTGTCTCTGTGTTTTCTTAAATGAGATGAAGATGAGTCATGATGAGATGACGGAGGTAGACTCTGGGAGCAACTGGAGACAGTGTCACACACACACACACACACACACTCACACAATACAGAAAAGATCTTACTCACACTACCAAGAACAGTGATAACGAATATCTAATGACGTTCCTTGCTTCTGTGTGTGTGTGTGTGTTTTAGATCCATTTGCAGCACAGTACCTCACCTTTTCCCCGTTTCAGAAAGAAGAGGGAGGCAGCTGAACTGAAGAGCAAACAGAGAATGAGCTCAGGACACAGACTCAAGGCACCTGTGTGAGCGGGCCAGGTAGCACACCTGTCCTCCAGCAGTCATGTGACCCCCCCACTCCCCACACTGTGCGTTATTGAGTAAAAAGATATACATTTTCACATACTCGTGTGGCGTTCAATGACCATATTAAAATGAAAATTGAAAAGCCTTTCATTTTCAAAGACTTAACCTGCTCTACAGTTACAATATTCAAATACAATAAGCAAACAGCGACTTAATTTACATTTATGCTTCATGTCAATGTCATGCAATCAGTCCTCTCATCAAGGCAGGTCATCAGTGAGGACATCACTTCCTTGTCACCTGTCACGTTGTCTGTCTGCGGCAGAGGCAGCGACTTGTTTTACCAGTCCATGAATGAAACTGTGTTTTATATTAATACAACTCTATAGAAATGACCGGAGGTAAGATTTAAATGAATTTTAAAATCAAAAACTGTCACCAGCACGACATGCAACACAGACCCCTTGAAGCGTGGACGTCACAGTTAATGTGGAGTGGTGACAGTGTGAACGCAGACCGACCTGAACACCGACAGAGTGACAGCGAGCAGCAGTGATTCATAGATACAGTGTAGGATCTGTATTACATGTATTACATTATGTACAATCAGTCCTGTTTGCTAGAGAGAGAGAGGCAGAGAGAGAGATGGATTGTGGGAGTATAACGGTGTCCTCATCATGCTCAGATGGACTATAAACACACACTTAGATATATGTCTCCTCCATGGACAAAGGGCACTTGGACACTGCGGGGAGACCTGAAGGGCGTGGGGCAGAACAGCGCTGTAGTTCACAAGTTCATCCTGCTGTATATTTGTGGTACAGTCCTGTAACCAGATCCCACACGGAGGCTCAGCCCAGACCAGCTCAGACCAGGGCTGAGCAAATCTCACAAGTGTTGCCTGAAAATAACCCTTTCTATTTATAACTGCTGTCTCTGCAGCAGAAAAGGAAGTTCATAATATTTCATTGACGTTTGTTCCCTGGGTCCCACTCCTGCGAGCAGGGATCTCAGCTCCGACAACAGAGCACCGCGGCAGTTTTCCAGTTTCCAGTTTCCACAGGAAGGCAGAGGAAGCAAGAGGACGCCGATTAGGCTGCAGATGTAGAAGAGGAGGCCACTCACTCCACAACCAGAACACGCCCTCTGGAGAGCGGCGTCTTCACACACACACTCACACACACACTCACACACACACACACTCACACAGCGACTGGAAAGTTTAGGGCAAAGTCGCACTCTTGTTATGTTCCCTCTCAGCACATCCATTAACCGTCGTCTGTGGAAATGTGGAAATTATTTTAGGGTGAGTGATGTAGTTTCAGTTCGGATTGGAACTTGCTGCCCTCTTGAGGTGTCATGTTACAACAGGCGGTTCAGTGGAGGAGAAACCATAAGCTGCCATGGTAACCTGACTGTCAACACCCCCCCCCCCCCCCCCCACCCCCACCCCCCGAGAGTTCGCGAGGGGTCTGTTTGGTGCGGCAGCTTTTTTTAGTTTTAAATCACCGACTGAAACAGGTTCTGCCACTGAGTAAATTATTATCTGAATAAAGTTTAATTTGGATGAGACATCCTATCCTCNTCCTGGCGTTCACCCCCCCCCCCCCCCCGAGAGTTCGCGAGGGGTCTGTTTGGTGCGGCAGCTTTTTTTAGTTTTAAATCACCGACTGAAACAGGTTCTGCCACTGAGTAAATTATTATCTGAATAAAGTTTAATTTGGATGAGACATCCTATCCTCATTCCTATACTTCTGCACAGTTTCACCCCCTTTTCAAATATGATGACATCACAATGGGGTCTAATGCTGTCTCTCCTGATTGAACTGAAGACATCTCCCCCCTTCCTAACTTTTTTTTTTTCATGCACCATTAATATTTTTTAATCAAATTGTAATTTCAATTTTTGAAATGAGAGAAATTAGCCTACTACTTAGCCTTTTTTTACCCCCCCCCCCCCCCCCCCAGATCAAAGACCGGTTTTTGTAATTGTGAGTGTAATTACTGTGACTGCACACTTTGTGAGATGATTAGCAGACTCTGGTCGAGGCTGGATGAACAGGGGCCCCAGAAGTGTGTCTGCTGGTTTTTGGTAATTTGATTTCTTGGATGTAATCATGTGGTCTTATCTTGTAGAGGGACCCTGTCTAAAAATCCATCCTCTAAACCCTTAATTATTCTATTTTAGACTAAAGTAAAGTTGTGTTTCATCCCTTCACCGCAAAGAAATCCTGAGTCAGGTGATATTCCAGTCCAGGAATAACAACTGGTTTCTGTTTCTCAGGCAAATGTAATAGAGGTGTGCCGTGTGCTTGATGAAACCCAAACAGCAAATAATCAATATCCCAATCATCTCAACATTAGCCCCATAATCTGGTAATAATTATGTTGTGATGGTTAATTTGGCAATGATATATCCGTGTTTACGTTTCTAAATTGTTGTGGCCTAAAGTAGAAACTGATGACTTCACTAACACATAATGAATTGAACAGATTTAACGCTGCTGTACAGACGTTGTGGTTTGTGGGAACCGTCCTCTTGTTGTGTGTTGCAGATTTGACCTGCAGAGGGCGCTAGACGAGCTGCTGCACAACCGTCCTCTCAGAGGGTGAAGTCTCGTCTCGTCCCATGGCTGTGTGAGCAAAGAAATGTAGTCAGCTTCCTCCTCCTTTAATGAAATTGACTTGTGTCAGACTCGAGTCTCTCCAAGTTTAATTCATTCATTCTTTCGGAGTGAGAATGATGACAGTAAATACAGGGATTTAATTTAATCAGAAGTGTCACTGACTCCCACAGAAAGCTGAGCTAGTAGGGGCAAGATGAATGATAATAAATAAATAATAATAAAAAAAAAAAGGGGGAAAGCCACAACATTAAAACCAATGGCAGGTGAAATAAACAACCTTATCTTGTTACAGTGGCACCTGTCAAGAGGTGGGATATACTGTGTTAGGCAGCAGGCGAACAGTCAGGTCTTGAAGATGATGTGCTGGAAGCAGGAAACATGGGGAGACGTAAGGATCTGAGTGACTTTGACATCGGCCTCCAGGTCTTGTGATGTGTTCCCAGTATGAAGAGGTTAGTTCCTACTGAAAGTGATCTGAAGAGGGACAATCAGTGCATCTATGTTTGACTATAGCACATGCAATAGTTGTTCACTCAAAATCACGAATGTCAGCCCAGTGGTGGCACTAGAGGCGAGGTCGGGGGGGGGGGGGGGGGGGGGGGGGGGGGGGGTTAACCAAAGGGGACCATGAATGTCTTTTAAAAGACTTCATGGTAATCCATTCAGTGGTTGCTGGGATATTTTGGTCTGGATCAAACAGTGTTCCTGGTGTCTGAAAGGCCAGAGGATCGCCAACAAACTGTATGGTTCATCCTCCTGGGAGCGCGAAAATATATAACAGAAATTATATAATGGAATCTGAAACTATGTGATGAAAGTTCATCATTTTACAGCAGAATGGCAAAACTGCTTGAGGATGTCGGTGGATAAAAGTGGAGAAATTGAAAGGGCTCATCCTCTGGGGAGCATGAATCTGTTTAGTAAACTTTTAGGCTTTAAAGATCTTATGAAACTTCGCCTGATATACGCATATTCGCAGCAATTTGCCTTTGAGTTTTGGTCAAGAAGAAAGTCAGACCTGACAGTGACCTACATGAAAGGTGAGGGAGTCACCCAGATGGTTCAGTAAGTGTCTCCTCAGCAGGAGATGCAAACGGCTACAGCGGTTCACACTGCAGAAAAGGACGCTGCTTTGACTGGCTGTTAGTGCACTCTGCCCGCCGTCTGCCTCTGACAGGCTCCTCCACTTTCACCTGTGGGTCTAATTTTAGGCCAGGCACCGAGCACAGCCTGTTATTATGGGTGATGTAACAGTAGAATAGGCGGCAACTGCTACAGAGGTTACAAGAAACTGAAACTGGGGAGGCGAAAGGTTAAGGCCTCAGGCTCTGCTCAGAATGAGAGTGCGAGAGTGAACGCCTGAAAAGAGTGAAAGCACAGTAAAGTAGACACACACCAACACGCACAACTGCAATTATGACATATTTAAGTCACTAATCCATGATCTGTCTTTGTTGTGAGCCACACGGAAACATCCGTGTGAAAGTATTAGCGATATCTGCTGTGAAAGGTTGATCTCCGTGTACGTCACCACCACTTCCATCAGCCATTTACACAGCAGCAGCTCAGAGGTGCCAAAGGCATCAGCTACACTGTCACAGCAGAACCACAGGCATTAAGATTGCATTTGTCTCTCAAACGCTATAAATAGAAGATATAAATTTATGATTATGCTCACAGTTGCCAGCTCAGATTCCAGTAGCAACATCTGCTCCGTGTGGCGACATTGTGCTCGGGTCCATCTGGTTTCAGGCTTTTAGAAAAGCCACTGAATTTTTTTGAATTGTGAAGAAAACACCTGCGCAGAAAGTATCCAACTCGCTTTAAAGGGGTTATCATGCAAATGTTAAACCTGCAGTAACTACAATAAGCAGCAGGAAAAACAGGCTTCCCCAGGACAGTTTTACTTCTTTCATTACCATGTTTGAACAAACAGTTCCATGGATTATATTTGTTCACATTAGACAAGATAAGCAGCAAAAATCTCCGTCTTCTAAAAGGCAAATGAAACAATAAAAGCAACCAGTCGGTTTGTAATGTTTAATTTAGATTGTTTAATGTTAATTCCATGCTGTGTTTCAGTAAGAACAATACAGATTCCCTGTCTGTGGCTCCAGTCAGATATCCAGTAGTACAAATCAGCTCCAAGTTACACATAATGAAGCAAAACAAGAAGAGAAACAAAGGAAACAGCAAAAGAAAAAAACCTCTGAACCTAGAGGAGCTTTAGTAAAACGCAGGGGAGAAGAAGCAGAAAAGATGTGTTAACTCATGCAAAGCACTGACAAACTTGGTTTTAGGGCTCTCTGTCGAGGAGCGGGGCCAAATTGAGACTCGTCTTTTACACAAGTGAGAAATCTCCCAAGTTTTGTTTTTTTTTTCTTCTTTTTTTTTCCTTTTTAAAATCATAACCACCAGCTAGCCGTAAGTCAACCTTCAGAGATTCAGCATGTGTGCACAGTTACAGTATTTCAGCACAAAGTACAGTCCAAGGACAACTACAAAAACATGACAACAGAATCACTATGGTGTAAAAGTTAAGCACTTCTTTGCCCCACGTGGATATCGCGAATTTTGCCGACTTCCTCTGAAAACCTAAGTTAACAAAAAGGGCACTTGTAGTTTTCCAAATTGCCCATAAAAAAAGGTAAAATGATTCGCATGACATTTCACTAAAAACAGAGATAAAATAGCTCCCATAACTAATAGTCAACATTATCAGTAATAAAAGTTAATTTCTGTAATTACATTAAGAAAAAAAAAATCTCAATACATCCAGCAACTGATAAAAATATTGAGGAAAAAGCAAAAAAAAAAACAAAAAAAAAAAAAAAAAACCAACAAACAAACAAAAATACAATAATGAAAACAAAGATAACGTCTCAGAACTGCTTGTACCAGGACAAAAAAAAAAACAAACAAAAAAAACAAAAAACAAAAACAATCCAGGGACTCTTTCAATATCTTTGTCTTTCTAACATTGTATTTCCTGTCTCAATTAAGTGGTATTTACTTGAATGATGTAAGGGCTAATATAAAAATAAAAAAGAAGAGAAAAATAAACCTGTTCACTCCGCGGCCCTGCTGGGTCACGGAGCTGCAGAGGTGGAAGAAAGGAAAAGGAGGGGAGAGGAGGAAAAGGAAGGTGACTCGCAGAGAGGGGGGAGGATTTGGAGGAGGGGAGGGGGAGGGGATGAGGAGGACAAAGGTGGAGGGGTGGAGGGGACGAGGAGTGTGAGGAGGTGAGGGGAGGGTCTCAAGTTGTTGGCTGTTGGTGGCATAGTCTCACTGGGCCTCATCCTCAACGTCTTGCAGTGCCTCTTTGTTCTGTTCTTCACCTGATGGAGGAAAAAACACACAGTTAGAAAAAAAAATAAGAAAAAAAACAATTAAAAAAAAAATCCTGTCTTCAAGATTTAAGACGTAGTTTCTATTGTTAACAGTGAGTCAGAGGAAGATGGGCGTTTCGTTTGGTCACAAAAGCCAATGATCTCAGAGTTAACTTGAAAATCTTTCGTTTGGAAACTAGCCAATTTCCAATTTTTACAAAAACAAAAGACTGGAATTAAAAAATAAAATAAATAAAAAGGCTTGTATCCAATTCAGCCTTTCATTTGGGGCTTTCCCCATTTTCGCTTCAGCCTTTTCTGAGCCGTCTTTGCCTCAAGAGGATCCTGTTTGCTGTGACTGGAGAACAGTGGTGGATGAAGGATTCAGAGCTCAAGTAAAAACAGTAATTCTATATGAAAATTATCCTTTCTATGTGAAAGTGATTAAAAATTTGACATAAAGATACAGAAATAACTTTTTTTTAAAGTGCTGAAACACTAATTGAACAAGCTGGTCCTTCTAACCAATCACAGAAGGCCAGAGTCAGGGGCGGGACTTCACGCCTGTCAATCAATATGCGAATGAGCTTCCAGTCCACTACTTCCCTCGCACCAAAGCTTCAAGCCACTGTTAGCCGCTGGAAGTCGTTGCTACGGCTAGCTCCTTTAGCATTAGCATTAGCTGAGACAGCGGAGACAATGAGGATGTAGGTGGAGGGCTGGGCGGAGCGCAATGGAGCAGGGAGAGGGAGGGGGAGGAAGAGGGGCGTGGCTTGCCCTCGAGTCTCTTGCTAGCGTTAGCTTGAGTTAAAGAACTTGCGTACTGTAGCTGTAAGTGCTTAAGTGTCATCAGCTGGATGTACTCACAGAGTGAAAAGTCAAAGTACTCATTTTGCAGAGACACGGCTCGTTTGATGGAGCTGCATTACAAACATACATAGAGATTATATCACGGGATTATTGTTGCTGAGGCATTAATGAGTAAGTCGCCTTGTTCTGTTGCTGCAGCTTTTTATTCTAATGGTTTTTCAAAATGTTAGAAATGAGTGGCTGAAGCTTGAAATGAGAACGAATAAAGCTGCAGTAGGTGCACGAGAAGATTAAAACATTAACTTGATTCAAAACATGTTGAAATGTTCTTATGACACTGGCAAACGTTTCCTCTATTGTCAGAAAATTTGGTTTTAAGGAATCAGCTACAGCCTAAAATGACTGGAGGAGGATAAACTGTTCATGTTTTGTATGAAAAACCTTAACTGGCAAAGTAACTAGTCGCTATGATGTCAAATAAATACAAAGGAATAAAAAGTACAATATTCCTTTTGAAATGTAGAGAAGAAAAAGTATAAAAGCAGCAGAAAATAGAAATGCCAAAGTACTCGAGTAAATGTACTCGGTTACTTTCCACCTCTGTTGGTGAATGCTTGTCTTTTTGCAGCATGAAAAAAAAACCTTTCCACTAGAATCCAGATGAAAAACCTCTTTAAACTGAGCTGCTTCCTTTTTTAAAATCTCAACTTTTTTCAGCGGAAATCTGCTGAAAACCTTCAGTCGGTCAAAACAGATGCTGAACACAAGTGTTTGGTGAAGACTGAAACGTGGTGTCAAACTCTGTATCACAGTCACTCATTCAAATACAGTGTTTAAAAACTGAAGAGGTCAAAAAGTGAAAGAAAAAAACCAAACAGAACTGTGTTTTGTTCTTAATGGAAAAGGTCAAATACTTCAATAATACGACGACCTTTTTAAATGCATTAATCAGAGTCAGCATTAAACAATGGGCTGCATGTGTTGGAATAGTCGACTTTCGTGTGCAAGCAGTCCAACATGCCAATAACATGATCTAAACCTCTGCTCCTGGGTGAACATACAGGTTTAACAGGCAACTCGGTGAACACGAAGTGGAACTATCTAAACTCAAAAGTCTGTTTTCAGCCGACCGCTCGTTACAGCTCGTTACAGCTCGTTACAGCTCGTTACCAAAAGTTAATAAAAGATCCAACTGAATGAGCGAGCGACAGAGCGACGGGTGAGTGGATTGAATTATTAAACCGTGAGTGAGTTAGTGTTGAGAGGGAACAGAAGGAAGCCACACACACAGCAACAGTGGGTGAGCAACACTTACAAAGTACAGTTAACATGGGAAATGAACAGTCAGGTTTGTTTCCTTTAGGACTCTACAGCAGAGGGAATGAGAAAGAGACAAGAGAGATGATGAGTCACTGAGAAATAAAAAAAAAAAAAAAAAAAAAAAAAGGTGCCGGTGGACACTCTGCACCACAGCAAACGCAAACTACTGGGATGAATGGAGGAAGAGAAAGAATGAATCAGATAGGGCTCAACGATTTATCCTTTCTATATCACAATTATGTTTTTGTTTTTTTATTTTATTCCAAGAGTCACAGTTTCATCTTATATAACGTACGGTGTGCAGCTTGTAGTAGTGACAATCGTCTCCAGCAGATTTACTCAGCTGGAGCTAAATGTTTTTTCTGTGAGTTGGTGGAAAGGTGAAAAACAGAAGACAAACATTGGCTGTAAATAACAATTTTTAATGTCACATTTAATTATAAATGTGAACTAAATTGGTCAATTTCTCTGTAGAAATGTTTCCTGTAGGAAACTAGAATTTACTTTTCTCCTGACTGGCAGGAAAAATAACAATAACTGCATTATTTTATCTGTAGATTTGAAGCATATTCTACCTGTAGTTTAATTTTTAGAATTTAAAATAGCAATATTGGTCTGAAGATTTGCATTTATGCATCATCCTCTAATCGTTCAGCCCTCGAATCAAATGCTGCAAAGTGGAAAAGCAGGTGATCTTTGTTAGGTAGAGTGATTATGAATTTTTGCCCCAGACGGCTGCTTTCAGCTCAGCCACATGTAGACAGACCACTCAGACAGGATTCTGCACTTTGTACCTGGACATGCACACTGTGAGCAGCATGATACACGTCCTGAAAGCCTCAGCTGATGTAAGTGAATTCAAACTTTTTAAGCTTTTTTTTTTTTTGTTGTTCATGGCTTTACTTTTGGATGGTTGGTATTTCTCCAGTTCTGTCGAAATTTTTTTTTATCTTCTATCTAAGAAAACATTTCTTCGGTTGGATCAATGTGACACAGACACAGTGGTCGAAACACTAGGAGCTCGCACCCTCAGGAGTAGCCTCATACTTATTTAACTTTGATATGAACAGAGCCAAGACGAAACACAAAGCAAACAAATAGTTTACTTTGTGACGAGAGAGAGAGAGAGAAAAATAAAACAGCCAATTACAACCAATTACTTGAGACTCAACCATTTGCACCAGTTGTACTGGGATCTAGTAAAAGGTAAGAAACGAAGCCTGTGCTCACAGCGTTAACACAAGTCGAAGTGACAGACTGTTTTAATAAAGATGAGGATTTAGATTTATATTTAGAAGATTGCGGTAGTTTCTCTCCAGATACAGATCCAACTCTCTGGCTACGTGTTAACTCATACTCACGGAATGTAATGTCATTAAATCTATTATAAAAAGCTAAACATTATAAACTGGCATGTGTCTCGCACTGCTGCTGACTCAACAGATCATCCATCAGGCTGCTCACAGTACTGACAAATGTTATAAATCCAGTGTAAAAGGTTTTAGGTGGGTAACAGGATATGAGTGAGGTGTGAGTTAATCATCAATCAGCATCTAATCCTGGAAAAAGAGGTTCATCAGAGACAAAAACAGGCAGATACACTGCCGGTGTATATACAATGTCCTACATGAGTTTAATGAACGGGCACCATGGTGTGAGCCTCTTACCTTCTCCCTGCATATCTGAAGTCCATAGTGTCAGGTTGTCACGTAACAACTGCATGATAAGTGTGGAGTCCTTGTAGCTTTCTTCACTCAGTGTGTCCAGTTCTGCGATGGCGTCATCGAACGCAGCCTTCGCCAACCTGAGCAGAACACATTCAGCACTTGTGTTGAAAACACCATAAACTTAAGAGCTTCACATGTCAGATTTTACTGTCAAATTAAAATAAGATGTAAAGATATATTCCACATTACAGTATGTATGTGTAATCTGTTTACAGGAAGCTTCTGTTATAAATTCATTTATGTATGTGTGAAAATACAGAGGAACGGCATCAAAACAACAACGTCTAGCTGTTTTAAAGATTTATGGAGGGGAATGTCAGAGTAAAAATGTGTCACTACTAAATACCGACTTGAGGTGGAAGTTAATATTATTAACCATTTTGTGTTACATACTTGCATTTCATTTAGCTCAATCTCTTTTTATTAATCCATGTCAAAAGAAGCCTAACTACATCCACTGTGATTTAATAAAACAATAAAACATGAAGAAGTCAAGGGGGTGAATCCTTTTTTAAATTAAAGGGTTTAAAGTTTCAGCCTCACCAGTCAGAACATGAGACACGGTTTGGCAAAAGACAAGAATGTCTAGTTATGAATGGCAACTGAGAAGGATTAGTGAAGGTAGACTGAAAACAAGAGACAAGAGATGGTTCCTAGGCTGCTTGTTGTCAGGACTCCTGTACGTTGGATCCTTTCTAAACCCCTGTGATCACATTTTAAGATTACTCTACTCTGCTTCTCCACTGTTGCTGAGACTAAAGATCTACCCCTAGAGACATCGTATTGAAGAAACAGTGACCTGCAAGCACGGTCAGGCGAGTTGAGGATCTCGTAGTAGAAGACGGAGAAGTTGAGGGCAAGGCCGAGGCGAATGGGGTGTGTGGGAGGCAGCTCCGACATGGCTAGATCGGTAGCGGTTTTGTAGGCCACCAAGCTGTTCTCTGCTGCCTCCTTTCTGTCGTTTCCAGTGGCAAACTCTGCCAGATACCTGTGGTAGTCACCCTTCCTGTAATTGGAGAAAAGAAAAAGGACTTTCATTCACACTAACATCTTCCTGTCAAGTGTCCCATTCCTCAACTTCCCTGATATTGCTTTTGTTAAATTTCCTGAGTCTCACCGTCAGGAATTTAATCCTCCATATTTTATATCTAACTGTATGAATGTGTCAAATAAATAAGCAAGCTCAAAATTTTAAAGTGCATCCAGCGTTCTGTGTCAGGAACAGAGAGGCTTCATTTATTCATCTATTAATTCAGATTCACACCACAAAGCTCTTACATTTTGTTGTAGAAGACCTTAGACTCGCCCATGACAGCAGAGGGGAGTAGGTGCCTCTCCAGTGCATCCAGAATATCACCACAGATTGACTTCAGCTCCTTCTCAACCTGCCACCAAATCAGAAACAAAAAAGACAATTATTCAATCTGCAAAAACAATCTTTCTAACTGAAGCCCTTCCTATACTTTCTGCTTCTGTGTGGGTGCAAAGGTCCATGTGATGTAAATTTTGCAATCTGCTCTCCGGGTGCTGCGGTGGTGATAGAAGAAGTGTGTCCCCCGAGGGAATGAAAGAACTACTAACGAAATGAAGGTGCAACACTGGGATAGCCCATCTCTGAATCCCATTAGGTCACTGACTGCAGTCCAACTGCCTCTCCCATCTCTCTGACACACTCTGGCCTCTCCCAGAATAATAGCCAGCTCTAATTTCCCTTCATAAAAGCAAGAGAGTGTGCAGCACTTGCCAACTATGACTCAGATGCAGTCTGTCCAGTAGGTGCTCATATAATGTGTATTGTTAATGTGAGCAACTGATTTCACATTAGCGAGGCAAATCTGAGATGCTCTGAAATGAGAAACATGTCTGTGACAATGGGACTTGGTAAATCCATGTAAGTGCTCTTCAAAGACAACTCTCTAAATACAAATGCTAAGCTTGTTTGTGATAAGTGACATCCTGAGCCTTTGCTGAGTGATTTACCGTTTGCCTGTATTCCCGGATCATCTTCAGTTTCTCTTCTCCACCCTTGTTCTCTTCCCTCTGTTCGATACTGCTGATTATCCTCCAGGAGGCTCTCCGAGCTCCAATCACATTCTTGTAGGCCACTGATAGTAGGTTCCTCTCCTCCACTGTGAGCTCTACATTCATGCCCGCCACGTTCTTCATAGAAACCACCATCTCTGTTGAGGGAACACATGCAACTCTCATATAAGCACATAGACTATTTCATATTAACATTGTATCTTGTAACAATTAGCTGTGAATTCTCTCATTATAATAGCTCGCAAGATGACATGTCTAAAGGTGTGAGAGATGTCATGACTGACATATTCATATGAGTGCCAATTCCATTATTATGACGTGACATCAAGCCTCCAAGTGATTAATAGAGATTCAGACATATTCAGGGAACCAAAAACAGTGCGCTAATTAAATCTGCTTCGCAAATCCAAGAGGTTTTTTTGGTTGGGCAAAAAAATTTGCATTATGAATGAAGCATTCTGGCATCAGGGATGATAATAATTTGTGCCTTGCCGAATATGCAAAACATTTAACTGTGACATGACACAGTGTATTGAGAACACACGTTCAAGCGACTTCCTTTCCAGTGCCAAATCCCCACCTATTCACCTCTGCACCAAACCAGCAAACACACCCTTCACTGATGCACTTTAAATATGCTGGAACTGTATGCCATGAATGACAGCTGGGAGGGTGTAAACTTTTCTTTAAAATAACAACTAAGTTTGTGGGTTAAAAGGTCAAAACGAGACAGGTTTTCTATGAGTCTGAGACTGGTTGATTTTGGGAGTATACATCATTTCCCACGCTGATCTATGAAGCTCTTTTTAAATTCATCAATCAAAAACATGTTATCATTTCATAACCTACCGCAGAATATATATATATGAATACGTCTACATCCCAGCAAGGATAGCATTTAGCCAGTCAACTATAAATCATCCTGTAAATACACCCGGTCCAAATCCCGTGAATGAGTCATGGCACATTCACTTAACGTTACTGGGCAACGTATGACCGGTGGCAAAGGCAGCCGTCTAAAAACAGCCTCTACAAGGCCTGTAATGGTATGACAGTCTGACAGGAGCGTACCAGGGAGAGGAAGAGGGAGTCATTTTCGCCAATCGATCCGTACAGCCTGTTTTCAGGGGGAACACCCCATCAAGTGAACAGCTGCCCTCCCACTCACTGCTAACACACCGCAAGCTTTAAGTAGCTAACCTTGCAATTTAGCTAACGCATCGCTACTGTACCGTTAAATGGCATCATTAACAGAATCACGCAAAAAAAAAGAAAAAAAAAAAAAAAAAAAAAAAAAAAAAAAGCTAAGGTCGTAATTATGGTTATAAAAACGGCAACATGACACTGGGTGTTGCTTATGGGAGCAAACCGAACCAGAAGCTCAAGTGTTAAGCTACAGAGCTAGCATGGTGCAGGGGAGGCAACTACTGACAGCTCACGCTCCAGTAATCCGCCATTTTGTTGTAGCCCCCTCGCTAATGTTAGCCACTGACAGTCACATCCGTACATTTCCCCTAAAATAGAGGCTTCCGGACAATGGCTGTCGTTTTAATGTCACATTAGTCTATCACAGGAAACAGCTCCCCGCCATGTCAATTAATAGTAAGATGAATCAGCGGTGTTGGCCAGGTTAGCTATCTTGTTAGCCACGGCTAACACTGAGCTAGTTGAACAGTGCTCCGTTAACATTAGCTAGCTCGGAGAAAAAAAAAATCCCAGCGGCGAACATGTCCCACTCCAAGCCAGCCCTGAAAGTGTGGCTTACCGTCATATCGTTCTGCCTGTTCGGCAAGTTTTGCCTGGTAAACTAGGTCCTCTCGCTCTCCCATTGTGTATCGAGATACGGATAGAGTAGCGATCTAATCAAACTAACAAGGATTTAGTGAAAAAACACGGTGGCGTGCCAGGTCTATCGGCGGTTCCTAGAAACCAACTGGGTCGATGAGTGGTGTTCCGCCCCACCGGCAGCGCTGCGCTGGGATGGAGTAAAGATGGCGACCAGCCTCATCCGGGTACCGCACATACGCACATGAATCACCAGCTCTGATACGCCCTTCAGTCATTTTTTATTTTTTTGTAAAGAGATAGCAGTAAGCACAAATTTCTGTAAGCCCGTTTAAAGAGTAAATAACACTAAATACGCTTTAATGATTTCATAAATTATATGCGCATTCATTATGTCATATTAACTCTCAGTTGATACTGATCCCAGCCTATAGCAACAGCAGGTCTGTCTTGTCCAAAAAAAAATAAAAAATTAATTAATTATTCTGTCTGCTAGACCGAAAACCTCTGTACATATCTATGACAGTGCCTTGCACTTTATGCCCTGCAAGTCATGTGATCGTGGTGCTCAAAGTACTGAAAAATTACAGCTGGAAATGAACAGTAATGTGTCTTATTGGGACAATCTTTCTGGAAACATACAGCTACTGATGTTTTGAGACGAACAAAACCCTATACACCCCCATTTTTGGGTTGCTATACTATTTTTCAGTGTATATTTACACAGCTAATCTTGGGCAAGTGACCCTGTATAATAATAATAATAGTAATAATAATAATTAATGATAATAATATATAGAAACTTGACATTTCCAAATACATTTGCAGTGCCTTGTGTCTCTACATTTGGAGGTGCACTATAATCGATAACTGATAAATCTCATATTTCTCTCATGTAAAAAAACAACAACATATAAATCAGTTTTTGCTGGAAATATAAGTTTAGTAAAAGCCAAGGAGACTGGAAAAATAGATATGATACAACAAATTATGTTTTCACTGCCTATTACCTTTAAATGAGTGTTAAAAATTAATTTGTTTTGCATACATTCCTTCTGTACACTGACACTACAGTTGCCCAACTTCATATGGCGTTACTAAAAATATCTCTGGTATGAATGGCAATGATTTCTGTAGCTAGGCAACTGCCATGTACAGCATGAATGAAAAGGGTGTTTTTGGTTATGAATGGTCCAGAATTTAAATACATGTTAGACTTCTTTACTGTATTTTTCAAGTGGAAGCTGTTATGAAGTGACTCAGCAAGACAAACAATTCACAAGCATACAAAAAACCTAATACATTAAACAAATCATTTGTCATGGGTTTGACTTTATTTACTAGTATATTAACACATTACATGCTACAGAAAATAAAAAGGTAATTTCAATTGTCTTGAAAGAATATAGTGTTATAATAAAATGGCACATTTTGATATTAACACAATTTCCACTGGCATTTTGACACCCCTTCCTTTTTATGAAAGGAAATGAATGACTTCATGCAGGGCTACTAAAAAAATACTTCTTGGTGGTTTTCATTGGCAAAACAATTAATAAGATAATGATTTATGTAGCTAAGCACTTGCCGTGTGCAGTGTGAGTGACAAAGAAGCTCGATTTGATCACAACTACACTGATAAAAATGGACTGTGTCAACAACGGGCAGTAAACACGAATGTTAACTTTTCCTAGACCAGATTTTTCCAAGAAGTCAGCCAACTGTTTTTAAAATGGTAAATCTTTTAACAAGGGGTTTGGGAATATGGCCAACTAGAAAATAAAATGTGAAAGCAGGACAGAGCTTGTCAGGCAAAGTTATAAAAAGTCAGGGAAACTAATGTGTTTGAGAAATCAAAGATAATTGAAAACCATAAACAGGAGAACATATATCAATGCAGATAAGTGCGTTCTGTTAAAAATGAAATTTCATCTCCTTTAATCTCATAAGCACTGGCAGAATATGCTTTCCGGAAGGATCCCATCTTTCTGAATGTTGCCACAGTGCCACCTAAAGGTGACACGGCGAGCAGGCCAGATTTACTGTACCATGACATCTGAGAGGAACCCTTCGCTTGGAAGAGACAGCGAGTTCTCCCGGATCAAATTCAAAGTGGACCAGGTTCACTCCGGCAAAGGTCTGAGCTATATATCCAGCCTGCTTCAATCCAAGCCAGTCTGCTTTATGATAAATGTGGGTGATGATTGTCAGGTGTCAACAAGGCGATTGATTCAATCTCAACAGAAAACAACCCCTTCAGGAAAAAAAAAAGAAGGCAATTTTTACTATAATTTTACTATAATTTGCCTGATCTCTTGGCAAGACAGAAATAGCGGTGGGTAGAAAGAAAAACAGTACAAGAAATAGTCCATGTTGGCGTGTGCATCATAAATGGACAAGGCTTTAAATAAAAGAGGGGCAGAGGATTGAGTGAGGAAGCACAAAAGAAACGCAGGCTGATGAGCCCCAGGATTAAAAGAACAATATAGTGCAAGGTGGCAGCAAGATTATTAATAGATTAAAAACAAAGGGCAGGTACCAAATAACACCACTTTATCTTTTCTTGGACACATTTGACAAGATCTGAACACAGAGCAGACTGTTTTCGCTAAGGTATACTCAGTGAGCTGAATGGAGAGCACTAATATGAGAAGACGTTACTAACTAACATGGTGGACAGCCTACATTCACTCCGTTCAACTTCATTCATGTACATCAGACGAAGAATTAGAACACGTGGTATTGTGACGGCTGAGGGAGAGGGGGGGGGGGGGCAAACCAACGTGCGCCTTCCCTCCCTCCCAGTCAGTTTATCCATTTTGCACCAGCAACCAATTGCTCCCTCCTGACATGCAGCAGTAAAAAGTGTACATGGAAACTGCCCCCCCCCCTCCCCTCCCCCAGACAAACCCAGCTATGAAGAAAACTACAAAGATAAACAAAAAAAATATTAGCATGTAATGATAATCACATAGTACATCATTTCATAACAATATGTTCTTTTTTTCTTACAAAAAGACTACTTGGTGGTACTTGGTCGTAGGTGGTGGGTTGATGAGGGGGGGGGGGGGCTGAGGGGAACCAAGGTGTGGAGAAGTTGAATGTAGTGTTGCCTTTATCTCCACCTCAACAACAGAAGTTTCTCAGGTTCTCTGATCTACGGCTATGACTACATGAAGTCGCTACTAGCTGCTGGTCTCGACTCAGTTTTTGTTTTCTCCATTTGATATTTGGTGTGGAGGGTGGGCGGGTGCTGGACTGGTCCTGGACCTGCTCCTCGAGAACTGTACACCTCCAGCTGGACCTAGCTTCTTGCAGTTCTTTGTGTGAAGTGATATTCCTCTGTTAATCCTCCCAGTGATAAAATGCTGCACATGTACAGGCATTTAAGTCTCGCTGCTCTTGTCCCTCACAGTCTTGGGTTGAACCAAAAATAATGCTGCATTCATGTCCAATAAAAACAAAAGTAGATGCAAAGTTTTAAACTAGAAAATCCCCTTCCCCTCAGTTTAGGAAGGCTGGTTACATGTCAGAGAATATTGTTCTGTCCGGTTTCAGGACATAAGTTTCAGGTGTTGTAAGCGCCTACAAATTCCTTCAGCATTAGTCAGGACCCCCATTTCTTTCATTTCCTGAATGAAGGTACCAGTCTGGAAAAATTAGGGGGCAAACGTAGAAAAAATTAGAGGCTGTCATGGCAAGTTTGAGAGAATAATTGTGCTCAAATTCATCACTCATTACGAGCATGGACTGCAAAAGTGAAACAAGCAGATCAGAATTAAATGAATAGCTCGATATTTGGGGCAATATGTTTATTTGCTGTCTTAGATAGGAAGATGGACACCACTCTCTTTGTCTGTACGATGAAAAACAGCAGACAGTTAGCTTAGCTTAGCATAAAGACAGGAAGTGTGTGTGTGTGTGTGTGTGTGGGGGGGGGCAGCTAGCCAGACTCTGTCCAATAGTAACAAAATCTGCGTAGTTTCAGCAAGCGTCGACAACAATTTCTTGGCTATTTCTTGGCTGGATGGAGTGACTTCCTGCAGAATCCACTGGTTGCCTGGCAACTGGTCACAGCCAAAAAAATAGGTACATAACATTTGTAAATCCATGAATTTGTATTAATACACTTAGGTTTTTTGTGTGGATTAAATTAAACAAGATATACCTAGTTAGTTGAGGATTTTGATATTTTTTGTTTAGAGCCAAGCTAATCATCCCCCCCACTTCCAGTCTTTATGCTAAGCTAAATTAACTGGCTGTGGGTGGTAGCTTCATATTTACTGTGCAGACAGGAAACTGTTATTGATCTTCTTTCCTAACTCTTAGCGAGAAAGTGAATAATCACATTTCCTAAATTGTCGGACTATTCCTTTAAACAGTTTGTTAAAATAAAAAATAAAAAAAAGAATTGAATGATGGTGCCAGAACAGCTTCAAACAAGACAAAACACATGAAAACTGTGTTGTTACTCTTCAACTTGTTACTGTATTCCCATCTGACATGAATGCAGCATGAGTGATCCTACAGCGCCGTAAACATGGTGATGGATGAGGATGAAAAATGACACAGTGCTGAGCAGTTATCTACTGGCTCCGACACAGGAAGAGGAAGTGGCTGAATTCTGCGGCGAGGAGTCTCCTGAGGAGCGAGTGTTGATAAGGTGTCCGCGTCAGGGAAGATGACGAGGGGGAGTTGGGTGGGGTGGGTGTAAAGGGTGTTGCCATATCCGCAGAACAGGAAACTCAGTATATCTTCTGTTTCCACTGTAGAGTATATGACCCATGTTGAAGTCTGTCAGTCAGAGCAGGTAGTGGAGGACGGCAGGCATGATTACTCAGAGGGGTAGAAATGGAGGGTGTGCATTACAAGGGTCCAACAAGGGTCTGTTTGTTTTTGTTCTCAGTGATTCTCTGAAAATGTACTTGGTGCAGGTAAAAGCTGGAGCAGACGTGAGGGAGGAGAGAGCAGGGGAGTGTGTGGGAATAGGAAGGAAAGGAGGGGGGAGGCGGGTGAGAAAGGGTCTAATACTAATGTCCAGGTTGCGGCCAAGCTGTCCGCTCTCAGCTGAGTTCGTCCTCCGCATTGTGCTGGTCCAGCAGTTTGACGTGTGTGAAGGGAAAGTGGCCGCGTTTGCCTTTACATTCCCCCTCCCACTGGCCGTTCACGTTAATTTTGGTCACCTTCACCATGTCGCCCACCTGGGGAGGGAGGGGAGAGAGAAAAGGGTGAGAGTGCAGAAATGTATGCAGCACAAGTCAAAGTAATGAACATGTGTATAATCCACTGTCCTCTCAAATCCGTTGTTGTCAGGTAGAGCTGAAGGAATTTATCGATTAATGCATCGACAGAAAAATAATCAGCAATTAATCATTTCAGTTATTTAGCAAGTCAAAACGCCAAGATCCTGTTCCAGCTGCACAGATGTGAGGATCTGCTGCTTTTGTGTGTTTCATATTATTTCAAATGGAATACAACTGCAACTAATGATTACTCTCATTATTGATTAACCAGCCAAAAATCATTTAGTTTTCTCAGAGCCACGTTCACGTCTTCAGTTTGCCCGTTCTGTCCAACTATCTCAGAGATATTTCATTTTAACGGCACATATGACAAAGAGGCAGCAAATCCTCTCGACTGAGAAGCTGAATCCAGAGAATATTTGGCATTTTTTCATGAGGAATAACTGAAACGATAAATTGGTTGGTTAGTGATTTTTATCTCGGAGCGCTGAAGTGAAACACCCCTGGGTTCTGGACTGTTCACCAGAGGAAGTGAGACACCTGAGGCCGTCACCTTGATTGTTTGAAAATTTGCTCCAGGCATTTCTCAGCATTTTCTGAGATTATAATAAAAAAATATTCAAAACAGATTATCTGATGATGTAAAAATAATGCTCAGTTGCAGTCCCACTGTCAGGAGGAAGCAGGTATGATAATGGTTGACCTGCACAGGGAGAGGAGTGGCTGCTCTTGTGTCACTGAACCTGAGCAAACAAGGACCAACAACCAGTTCCAAAGTTCAGATCTATGCGGGTGATGAGTGAACAGTCGGTGGTTAAAGCTGTGCCGACATGCTCAAAGCTTATATCATCAGTTTGATAACCTGTTACCACCTCCGACAATCATCTCGTGTTAAATGTGTAACTGGCAGCCTTTGTATTACACACCGTGTCCTAGATACGAGACCTTTAATTATGAGTAACCCTTTTCCCACCTGATGCAGCTGCACACCTCAAATAAATTAAATAAAACAATTAAGATGTTTGACAGCTGAATAGCTCTGCATTTCCTCCAGTGGTTTCCTGTTAACGGGTATTTAGTATAGTTTAGAGTCCTACATTGCAACTAAAAATTATTTTCATAGTTTTCCAACATCAGTTTGTTGCATAAAATGAGAGAAAACAGGAAAAAATGTCATATTCAAAGTGCTTGTTTTGACTGAGCAACAGCTTCTTACTTTGTAGATTCTGCTGGATATTAGTCTCAAAGAACTGACCTTTAGTAAAGGGATGAACACACGAGGGTCAACTGTTGTTGAGAATTCACTGCTTTCTATTTTCATGAGACTCACCAAACAGTTTACAGACTGTATTTTATTATATATTATATTCTGAGACTATGGCTGCAATATTGTGCTTCGTGTTGGTGCATTTCTCAAGTAAGTTCCTGTATACACTTTGACTATGTATGGTATTTTAAAAAAAGATGAAGATATTGTTGGTTTATCCATCTACAAGTCATAAGACCGATCAATGGACTATATATGATCAACCTCCAATCCCACCCTGATGAAGACGAGACAGCCAGAAACACCGAGAGGAGTAAAGCAAGGTGAACTGGAGAAGCGATGTGTTTTAACGTGGATGTTCGACCAACAGGCTAAAACTCAAAGATATTTATTTCACTATCATAGAAGACAGAGAACAGCACATGAACCTTTTTCTCCACACGATAAATACTCGGCAACTATTTTGAAAAAGGTTCAGTTGTTTCAGATCCTAATCACACGGGATCCAAACAGTGGCACAAATGTAATATGGCGGTATTAACTCAACATGACTCTGCTTGCATGCCTTGCTGCTGCTGCTGCTGCTTGTGGATTTCATTAATTAGAGCTGCTGGTTGCTGTTTGTTGTTTGTTTGTGTGCGTGTGTTTGTGTTATGTGGGTCACTCGTTCACAACACTGTTGCGTTAGGACACAGTTTCAGCGTTTCGACAGAAGGCGTACCTGAAGTAGAACGGGTTAAGGATTAGTAATGGATAAGACTTAATGCAGAAGGCACTAATGCATTTAAAAACAAAGTCCTGAGAGCCTCCAGTGTCGGTCCTGCAGATTGCTTCAGGACGTCCCGGAGTATTTCATTTAGGATCTTTTAAACAGAGGTGCTGAGATGTCTCCATAGTGAAGAGTATTCAGACCGTGTCATCATTATGTAACACGCCTCATCCATTTGACACATACTGTCTGCAGCTGTTTGTTGATGTACTAGGTCACAAAATACTTGGCGCAGTGTTTTTGCTTCTTTGGCTCCCTAAATACAGTATACAGGACGGGACAAAATACAACACGCACCATGACGCAATCCAGCACAGCACCACCACAACCTCAGGCCTCAAAATTACCACACAGCCAATCCACCACCTCTTTACCACAGTTCCTACAACAAACTCAACACTAAAGGTTTCTCGTGGGAGTCTTCATGCTCCGGCTGAAAGATTCATCGCTTAGTTGATTCAACAGAGAATTAATCTGACAAATATTTGTCAACCAAAGATACCAAATATTACCTCGTTTCAATTATTCAAATGTGTGGATTTGCTGCTGTTCTGTTTTATATCATTGTAAATTAAATAACTTTAGTTTTTGGTTTGTTTGTTTGTTTCACAGCAATTTGAAGATTTAACCTTCAAACTGATGTTTTTCACAGTTTTATAGATCAAACAGTTGATTACTTGCAGCCCTAATTCATTGATTGATTAAGATTGCAGAAGTGTTCGTGTTTTCACCGCCTTTATCAAACTATATGTATGGACTTCACAGATTAGAAGAGATTAAATTTAATTTTATAATGGCCTGTAATCACACTCACAACTTAACGATGTCTCAGTCTCAGATTTTAGAAAACGGGTAAGAGAATAAACACATATGACCGCATGAATCAGAGATTAAATGCACTCATGAATGTAAGTTAGTTTCGGTTGCTGCAGATAAGGAGAGACCTTCACAATCAGTGGGTTTTATGAAGACGACACAAGGAAACCTTAGCTAATTATTAACTGTCCAGTTCCACCTTGCTGAGTCAAAACAAGCTGCCTCACGTTGGTCAAAGCCAGAAAAGTCTACCACAGGTGGGAGTGGTAGAAACCAACTCATACAAAGGATCTACCCGACATATGAGCAAACTTCAGCAAACAGCAGCAGACTAGTGGTCCGACTTTACAAAAAGGAATGGACGGCACAGATTAGGAAAGTCAAATTTGGGATCTGTGTTGGGATCTTTAGCAGCACGGTCCAGCAGGGCAGGAGAAACAAGAGCTGTGACGCTCTGACTGGCCTGTGTCCTAGTCCCACTCCTGGCTCAGCTGGACTCCTGGCTTCACAGAGACTAAAGGAAATGGTCCTGTTCCCAAACACAAACTATTTCCTTCCCCCAACGACCTGCTCCGTGGGAGCATTGCTCTTGCTTCCGGACAGCGTAACAGACCAGCTACCGTTAGCAGGGAGCAGAGTTTAATGGCAGCTTTCATGTTTGGGTCCCCTCTCTTCTTTGACTATTAAGTTAAAATCTAGGGAAGAGATTAAGTGCTCTGAACTCAAATAGTGCTGAAAGTTGAAGCCAGGGAGTTAATAAACATCATGGACAGTCTTCACAAAGGTCGATCTGTACTGTCACTGGACTGATCTTCATACAGAAGACATTAACTAACCAGATTACCTAGAAAAACTCTTAGGGAGCTGGCTGAGCATTTTCTGACCTTCATTCCTGCTCAACAAATACAGAGGAAGAAATAATCAAAAGCACAATGGGAAAGAAAGCCAAAGAATGCGAGCTCAGACTTGATAAGCTTACAGGGCTGGTCCTACATCCTTCGTTGCTAAATGTCTCCTTTCCTCCAGCACATGTTAAGAGGATGCATGGAGTCAAGGAAAAACACCACACACATCCATATTTACCTCTAAGGCCAGGGCAGTCTTGTCGTAGGCATTGGGCACCCTCTTCTGTATGGCCCTGGCATAGACAGGTCCGTTCTGGAGATTTGGGAGAGGGGTGGGCTGGGCGTACTGGCTGGGGTCTCCCAGAAGCGGAGTGCCGGGCTGAGCCGCAGAGCCGTCAGAGTTCCCTAGCATCCCCATCCCTCCCGGCGGTCCCCCAGGCACACCAGGCCCCGCCACAGAACTCGGAGACGACGGTCGGTACTTCTCCACGTACGGCACCGGGATCATCCCTGCCCGGCCTTCAGAGTTCTGGGCATTCCACCACTGCTCCTCTGGCTTCTCAAGAACTCGGAGAATGTCACCCTTCCTAAACGGGAGATCTTCTTCATCGTTGCCGGGGAAATCGAAAAGTGCCCGGACATACTCGTCTTCCAGGCGCGGTGGTGGGCCTCCACCGGGGCCAACGCTGATGAAGGAGGTGTGTTTGGACTTGTTGATAGGTTCTATCAAGGTGGTGGTGTCCAAGTAGTGGATTTTGTAGAATTCTAGCAAAGCAGGGAGAGCATCAAACTCCTGGTCACCAATACGGAATCTCGGATGGACCAAACCTGGTGAAAATAAGAGAGGATGGAAGAGGAGTTAGAGAGACCAGTAAATGTTTTTTTTCTTATCCAAATAAACTACCTGCCCTAACATGTTCAAATCTACAGCCTGAAGCCTATTTATTTCTGTAACCAAGTGTGACGGTGGTGATTTCCAGGATGACAGGGAAGCATTTTTGTTTCCTTATTTTGCATTTCTTTCCTTTCCTCCAATGAAAGGTCTTTGTATTTTTGAAAAGGCAAGAGGAAATACAACAAATGTGCTGCAATTCCCACACAGGAAAAAAAAAAAACCCCAGCAGAGGCAGGAGACAACGTCTGCTCAAAGTCTATAAAAACCTGGCGACATGACAGACTTTTGAACATTTACAACTCTTCTAGGGTCAGCTGATAAATTAGATTCGTTTTAATGGTGCACCAGTCCAGAGCTCACATTCATACAGTCTGCTCTTTTATAACTCACCGCCCACCACAGCCTATTTCAGTGACAGAAATGTGCATCTCTACGATTCACTGAAACAATGAGTTGTATAATATCTAGCGTGCTGCCTGCCTGAGCATCCATGACCAGAGGTGTGTTTGCCTTTTAGCAAGCCAACATTAAACTGGCACGTGTTTCAGTGTGTCTGGCCTGCTGTATTCTTCACACAAGACACTGGAAAAGGCACTATTGCGCATCGCCTTTGGTGCAAGTCATGCAAGAATGGTCACATCAGCATCTCCATATACCGTGCCCCTCCGAACCCCACTGTTCTCTTACCTGGACCGGATTGTCGGTTGTTGCTGATGCTGTTAATTATGTAATGTGAGACTTTGGAGTTCTCGGATACCGAGAGCACGTAGTCCCCGGGGCTGGTGATGGAGTCCCGGACCAGAAACACGCCGTGCCTCTGTCCCTGCAACAGAGACACAGCCTCCTGCCTGCTCAACCGACCCCAGTACCAACTGCCACGGTCCTCCGCGTCAAAATTTCCGGCCATGATCACCACTCCAAAGCCGAGGCTTCACCGGGCCTTCCCTGCTCTCCCTCCCGTTATCCACAAGCAAAGCCTTCAACTCATACAAAAACTTTAGCGCCTAGAGCACGTTTAGTAAACAGGCGACATCCGCAGCTAGCCGTTTGGACATCAATTCGCCGATACAGAAACTCAACCACGATTTAAAACGGACTCTTATTTGGTTTACGATCGGAATTCACCTCTATTAATCACACAATACGTTTTAGCAGCAGAATTCCAGCTATAATCCAGCGACCGATGACAACTAACTTCAAAAACTGAAATGGCGGATACGGGAAAACAAAAAAAGACCCCTCTCACCGGATGTGACGTAGTAATTATGTGCGCCAGACGCACAAGCGTCAAGCTAAAAGATAGTAAGCTCAGACTTCCGTTTTAAGCGACATAATATAGTAATGTTAATCATACAAGCTTATAATTATCAGATAAAGCCGAAATATAACAATCACATTTAGTAAATAATCTAATATAACGTTGGTGTCATTTACCACCCAACGCTTCGGTGTATATTTCTATTTTGCAAAGTGACCAGTTTTTAAGCTTTTATTTTGGAGGTAAACTCGTTAAAGAGCTTTTCCTGTTCGGGCTCACGCTGTTTGACTTGACAGGTCTGTCCTTCGTGGTAGTGGGTTGTTGTGAAATCTAAAGCTTGCATAGTTATTGCGCCAGATCGGCTGCAGCGCTGTAATTACGCTGCGGACACACACACCTCATGTTTTGATCCCGGAAGCATTTTTGAAGCTCTCAAAGATACATCTAGCTCATTCAACCTCGTAAATAACGGGTTGGCTGCACTTTGTATAATTGGCCACTAGATGTCAGCCAAAGGCAATTAAAAAGTCAACTTTTTAATATCAATATTGTCACACCTACATTAACTTCTGTGGTTTGATAGTCAGCATCAGAACCTTTATTCACAAAAAAAATGATCGAACAACTAAAGAATTAACTATTTAAAATATGAAAAATGCAGAAGTTACTCTATTACAGATAGAAACTAAGGGACTATTTCACTGCACTACAACAACATATCAACATACAGTATGAACCACATTTATGCTGTGTTACTATATGCATCTAGGACCACTTTACATTAATAAGTTAATGAATAAAGTGTGATGCATTAGTCTTCATGATGAATTAGATCTAAAAAAAAAAAGACAAAGCAAAAAGATTTCATTTATCAACATTAACAAAGGCACTAGTTACTTATAAATCCTTTATGAAGGGCGCCTTAAAGAAATATTTCAATAACAGTGATTGAATTGAAAGCCTTTATTGTCATTGCAAGTTTGTGAAATATGCTTCTTTGCTCTCCTGCCAATAATTAGATGAGCAGATTCATGTCTCTGTGTTAAGTATGGTAGTAGAGCTGGTCAGTGATTAGCCTAGCTTAGCATTAATGCTAGCTAGCCTGACACTCTCCAAGGTAAAAAAAAACACACCTAGTCAACATCTTTGAAGCTCATTAATAAACACACTGTATGTAGTTTGTTAAATTGTGACGCAAACAGAAATGTAAGAATAACAATTTATGGAGAGTTATGCTATCTAGCATGCTAGCTCCATGATTAACGTACCGGTATGAGACACCGTAAATGATAGTGGTAGCTATCATTTTGCTTTCAACATTTACAACTGCAGACTTGGATTATTGTAGAAATGTCTTTATAAATGATTTATAAACATTTTTAGTTACAAATGATTCATTACATTTGGCTGTTTCCTTATTCCTTATTAGTGATTTTACTAGCAAGAGAGATCACACAACCTGGCAACTCAAAAATCGTTTGGAGCTTCACTATAAAGCATTGATGAATATTTTATCAACTATTAATAAAGAAATGTTTACAACTTATAAACCTGCCAAAGGTAAACTATATAATAACACCTATAATAAGACCTATATATATAAGACTTTTCAGGACAAAATCAAATAAGTTTTCCAAAAAAATCTGAACAAAGGAAGCATTTATAAAATTACTTGATATGTAAGAATAAATACAACTGTAAAAAGCAGATATTACTCTCTTAATACTTCTACTGCAGCGCGGTGGTAGGTGGATGCTCCTCCACATTGAGGTGTAGTTTGTGCTGCTCTATGGGCCCCAACACTGGATGTAGCTGACACCTACAATCCAGCAGACTACAGATCTGGAGCCGTCGTCACATTCAAACACAAAACTAAAACAAGGCAGGAGATGTTTTCATATCATAGGATTTATTTGTAAGATCCAGGGCATAACAGAAAATGTAAAGTTTTACAGTTTCACTAGCATATCAATCCACAGAGCATTTGTTTCGTTCTATCATCAATAAAGTGGCAGAAAAATAAAAGATCCATGGGAGCTTTCAGAAAAGGGCAGTGACAGAGGAAGCTACTGTAGAGAGAGAATAATTCAGAGGTATACCGAAGATAGAGAAATACATGTAGAAGAAGAAAGACTCATGGAGAGAGAGAGAAAAGATCCAAGGCTACAGACACTCATGCCTTCAGAGTCACATCACCATGTTTCTTTTTACAGCTCACATTATATCAGCAGAGTTCTTGAATGAGACGTACACGGCACCTTCACACCCCGTGGTCACTTGAAGCATTCATAACCCCTCCTGCTCTCTGAGTCCAAGGTCAACACCACGATCATCTCACGTCTCATTGTGACGTATGGAAGGGCTAGTCATTCAGCCTGTGGTGACGAGCAGAGAGTCAAACAATAGACACGTGGCAACAATCTGAGTAAACGATCAACACAGAACTGCAGTAAATTAAGTAAAACTGAGCGATATATGAGTTTTTGGACAATATTCACATCTGATACCAACAGAAGGGTTGAAGCCAGTTTGTAAAATCTGTATGTCTCTTTATATTCAAGTTTTTTATGGACAATAAGTTCAAAAAGAATTACGAGTTATTGAGTGTTACAAACACACTTGTATTTTGGAACCCAGGGGATGTTTTTAAAGCTCCAGAGTTTCCTTTTCTTCTGTGTTTTATTTGAAGTGTTGATCCATAAGAAGATATATTTGTTGTTTTAAGAACCAAAAACCATCTCAGTGTAGTTTTACATCTCCTCTCTCAGGCTTCTCTCTGGAGCTCTAGTAACAACAGGTCGGTGAGCCAATCAGGAGAGAGGAGGCTCTGAGCCTCTCTTCTGATTGGCTGAATGTTTTCTGAGTGATTGAATAAAAATATAGCAGATTTCAGGTAAAAACACTCAGAGAAACCAAATCCTGCTAGGTTTGGATGGTGGTTCCAGGTGGGCGGGGCTTAGGGCCTGGCTGAAAGCGGTGTCAGCTTTGTTGTGACATCACAAAGTTACAGGAAGTCCTGGCGGCTCATTTTAAGGCTCAGTTTCTGAATACAGGCTGTGTGCATTTCTCTGTTGACTGAGCGCTTTGTTACTTTCACAGTATTAATATAGAACCTAGAGCTGATCTATAATCAAACTACACATGGACATCTACCTTTAGACTATATGGGACCTTTAAGAAACCATGTTCATTCATACCCGTGTGGAATCAAAATCCTGCATGAGTTCAGGTTGCACTGACTCCTTCATATCAAAGATGGATGACAACTGAGTGATGGATGAAAGGTTTCAAATTAGAAGCCCGCATCTATGCTGATGTATCTGCCTAATTCCATTTGTGATCTATTTGCTTTGATTTGCAGTGACCTTAACATAAAAGCAGAGAAGTGCTCGGCTCCAGGACATAACAAACATGTACACACACCTTCCATCTCCACTGCCCAACTCGGTCCTGTTACAGCAGCGAGCAGAAAACCAGTAAACCTGAGAATAGTCTATAAGCTTCCACAATAAGTGAGCAGTGAGTCAGTCTGACCCTGAGAACAGGGTCCAAACCTTCAACTGTAGACTGTCTATGAAACCAGTGGGTCACACTGACCAGCAGCAGATGGTATTCAAACGTTTACATCACAATCTCACTACAAACAGTAATGACCAGTATTTGACGTGCCTCCACACAATGGCCTCAAATGCTGATAATCATGGTGGTTTTCATAGACAATCTTCCTCAGTCTCACATTAAGTGTGTGTGTGTGTGTGTGTGTGTGTGTGTGTGTGTGTGTGTGTGCACGTGATGCTGCCAGTGACGGTGCACTCAGCTCTGCTGCACACCACTACTGTACAGCACCACAGCTGTTTAAAGGGCTATTCGTAGTGCCCTGTTTTGTTTGTGAACTTGATTTTGCAGGGACATGCAGCACTAGCTTATTTCAAAGGCAGATTAAAGGGTAGTTTCTTTTTGTTGTTATCTTCAAGTGCAATAGCACTGATTCTGAGGCACAGGGGGAGGTTTGCTGTAAGGAAAGCTTTCAGGTGGCACGGACATGACCCACATATCGTCTTGAACACCTTTGAATATTTCTTTAAAATTACTATATAAATGTTTAAAAATGTATTAAAAAATTGAGGTTGATTTATTTATTCAGAGTTGTTGTCTGTGCACGTTTATTTATAATGCATTAAATTACTTTTAATTAGTTGTGAGCATACTTGACTACGGCGTTGCAGCTTTAAACACTTTTGCCTTCTGACGTGATCAGCTTCATACTCTTCCACCCAGTTTGTAGTCCAGGCTTTGTGTGACCAACGTGAAGCCTAGACTACGCTCCGAGATAACCCTGATGACATCACCATGGTTATTTTCTCAGACGTAGGAAAACTCCTCCAGAGCCGCAGGAGACATTACACAAGTGTTTTACAGGCTGAGAAGTCGGTCTTACAATACTGTAAAATTGGTGGAGTGCCCTTTTAAAATATACACACACTGTACATACAATACAAAACAAAACAACAGCTCTGCTTTCTGATGATGCTCATTAAAAACTAGTGTCAAAGACGTGCTGTGAATTCCTTGTTTTTGGCGTTGAATAATACATCCCCAGAGTGTCTGCTAGCACAGCATACCATTATTCCATACAGCCAGAGACCCGAGGGACGTCCATTATGGAGTCAGGTGATGTTGCTGGGATAGTTGTGATGTAACTACAAGGCCACTGTACATCACAAAAAGCCTTCATTTTTAATGCCACACACGTTAACGGCTCCTAGGGTGAATGTATTAGTGCATGGGACAGCTGTCTGGGGAAAAGTATATATCTGCTTTTATTAATTTTTAACTGCTTTAGGATGAAGTTCTCTTCTGTAGGAGTTAATATTCTCTGCCTCCTTTCCGTATCAATAAACCCTTTCCAGTCAGTGCCTTTAATATTGCAACAAATAAAGAGTGTGGTTCAGCTCTTCCCCAGGTTTGCAGCGTTACTCATGCACACACACATATTGCTCGGACTCTCCCAGACCACATGAAGAACAAATACGATTCCTTGAATTGAGTGGTGTTCCTCTTTAAGTGGATAATCTACAATCTAAACAACCGCCCCAGGACAGATAAAAACAATATATATTTATATATATTTATATGCTGTACATCCAAAAATACAGTTTATTCCTTAAAGCTTTGCATGGACTATAGTAAGTGACACATGGCGGGAAAGCACTAGCTGGGTGAGAGCTACATAGTGTATAAGGATATCTGCAGCTTATATATAAACACAGCACTGTTCAGTACCGTGGGAGTGACACACGACCTGGATTATTACGAGAAGAAGGCTACTAAATATTTCAACTTGACCCCCCAGGACTTTGGGACACACGGCGACTCAGACCACCGAGTCCTTTTCCTTCCAACACAGGGCACTTTGTTCCGGTCGCACTCTAGGTTTCGCACAATCATCGAGGCCTTTACTGCGTGGATTTCTTCTTTTAAAAAGTTGTTTACTTTCTTTTGGTTTCGGCTGACTAATTTCGTCTTCAGTGTGAACTTCGCGGTGCATCTGTTCGTTTCAAATCTGTTGGTTTGACTTTTGATTCCTGTCTGTCTTCTCATCCATCTGGCGAGCCGCTGATGTACGTGGGAGGGAGATATTTTATACATTTCCACTAGTTTTTGGCAAAAACATTTTTTTCAAAAAGTTTAAAAGGCCCCGACGACTTCGCATGAGTCACTGTTTCTATATTTTCTGGTCTGTTTTTCTTCATCTCTCTACTCTTTTAACCAGTAATGGGACGTTTTACAGGCACATGTGGGTATTACCGGGGTTACCAGGAGGAAGGACCTGAATAAAGATTAACATTCTGTACATAAAAGCTTCATGTGATATAATTAATCAGTCTATTCTACATGTTAGCGTCCTCAGTCTATTCGTACTTGAAACAACAGACAGTTGGGATAAAACAGACGTCCTGTTGGGGATTGTCTTCTCATGTTACAGTCACCAGGAGTCACCTGGTCTCAGCTCTGCCAGTGTCTGAACGCGGCTGGTCACAAATCAGATCAGCGGAGGGAGCATCGAGTGGCGTGTTCATATGGATTACATCCCTCCGTCACTGCAGCCTGTTTGACTTTGAGCGCGCTCAGTTCGCCTCCGCAGGAGTCTTCTCCCGCGTCCTTCCACACAAGACTCGATACAGGAGGGGAAACAGAAGCAGAGTGGAGCAGGGAGCGGCAATCAGGTCAAGTGGTCCGATTGGTCGGTCAGCTCATCCTCCTCCACTCTCATTGGCTCGACGGCTCCGGAGGAGTGCTGCGACTGGCTGGAGTAGGACAGGCGGGAGGAGTGGCTCTGCGTGTCGTCGTCATCCTCCGCCATCACTGCCTTCCTCCCCCCCGGAAGCTGCTCTCTCCTCTTCGCCTCCTTCTCCCCCTCTCTCCTCCCCCGTCCCCTCCCCACTTTCCTCTGCTCCTCCACCGTCCACATGCTCTCCTCCTCGTCCTCCTTTCCCTGCACCTCCCTGTCGAAGTCCAGCAGCTCCTCCATCATCTCCTCTATCTCCATCTCCCCGTCCAGCTCCTCCTCCACCTCGGACCGGAGCTCGTCCATGCTCTCAGTCCGGTTCGTGTCGTCCGTCTCCTCCTCCTCTTCCCCGAGCCCCCTCAGCCTCTCCGGGGGGTCGCTGGCCTGACTCTCTCCGAACTCCAGGATGGTGGGCAGGTTGCCCTGCTTGGGGCAGCGCTTCCTCAGGCTGACCAGGAAGGGCTGCGGCAGGGAGAAGATGTCCACGTTGTTGCCCAGGTCAATCCACGTCACGCTGGGGAAACTGCCGGGATCCTACGGTACAAAACACCAACACACTCTATTAAAATCATCACCAGCAGCATCTCATCTTATTTTGAGCAAATCCCTTCAAAGAAATGAGGTAAGTATCAAGAAGACTGTCCACATCTACCAGCCTTTACACAAACTTCAAGTGCAGAAAGAGGTTCCTTCATCCTCGACAAACGGAGCTGAAGGTTTCAGATGTTTGTTGTAATGGCTGCTGGATGTTGACAGTTCAGACTGTATGAAAGTAACAAGAAAATCCACAATTTCTCCAGGCAAACTGAAAGTCAATGTAGCGTAGCGGTCGAGGGCATCGACCATGAACCACATGTTGAATGTCCTGAATTCAAGTCTGGCAAGAAACGTTTACTACATATCTTCATCTTCCTTCTGCTCCTGCCATCTCTCTACTATAGAGGCATGAAAATACTGAAAAGTAAATATTTCCTTCAAGAAATTATGTTTAACTAGTTACTATGTGTGTATTTTTGTTTTTTAACTCATTCTTGGCTCTTTCTTGGTGCTACCACCAGGAAGCCCAACACACTTACACCTTCAGGGCGTCTCCACTGTATTCACTTTCCCAGGGAACCAACAGAACCACATTTTGACCTCAGGAACCAGAGGCTAAACTGAGCTCCTGCAGCATCTTACCAGGTGGGAAAAACTTTGATATGGGGGTAGAGTTTTAGAGTCAAACAATAACTATGTGGCAGTTGTACTGTTGGTTTTTTTTTTACATGCATTTATTATTTTAAGTTATTTTTGGGCAGTTTTAGCCTGTAATCTGATGGTGACAGTGAGACAGTAAAGTGGGGGAGAGAAAGAGAGGGAATGACATGCAGTTTTCTTGTGTGAAAATTACTCATAAACTGCCTCACTTTCCTAGTTTCCATGATTCTACAGATGCAATAGAAACATAAATGTACAAAGGGCTAAAGGCTCAAAGGGATTATATTTGGATTGAAGTAGTGGTGGGTCGCAGGTCAGCACCACCTGGACTCTGTTTTGCTAAATCTGGATTCTGTGGCTCCAGTGACTTCTAAGATCTGTTTCTGCCAAAGACAAATGGTGGCAGGAGTTAAAGGTTGATGGAAAAAATGATGGTGCAGTGTGACAGGTGACAACATCCTTTCAAAAAGAGTAATTTCTTTACAATAATTACACTAAAACTGATACAATACTAGATTGTAAAATAACCCAAAAGATAAGTGACTTTCCGACCTTCAGAGCATCAGTCAGCTCCTTCAGGACAGCTCTGGTCAGCCTGTTTCCGTTCAGCGCCAGCGTCTCCAGGTGCGGCAGGGCGGCCAGCGTGGGCAGGAGCAGGAGGAACGCCTCGTCCGTCAGCTCGGTGAAGCCCAGTTCCAAGCTCATCACCATGGACGCGTGGCGCTGCAGGTGTGCGCACAGGCGCTCCATGTCCCGAGCCGCCAGAGGGATACCGGACAGGTCCAACGCCCCGCTCGATGGAGGGGCCGACAGCACCGCCTTCAGGCTGGAGACAGACACAAGGAAAAATATTGGTCAGTGAGATTGTTGGTTTCATACAATGCATTACACATCAGGTTTAATGCATTGTTTCTGTCTTTGAATATTTGTTCTGATTTATGCAGCCAGTTGTGAGCAGATCCGCTAAATGTTAAACCCTGACCCAACACACAGACAGAAGTTCCAGCTGCTGGTATCCTAAACTATGGGTCAAGTACTCAGTCCACAGAGAAATGCACACAGCATGTATTCAGAAACTGAGCCTTAAAACCAGCCTTCAGGACTTCCTGTAACTTTGTGATGTCACAACAAAGCAGCCACCAAGCCCCGCCCACCTGGAACCACCATCCAACCTTGCAGGATTTGGTTTCTCTGAGTGTTTTACATGAAATCTGCTATATTTTTATTCAATCACTCAGAAAACAGTCAGCCAATCAGAAGAGAGGCTCAGAGCCTCCTCTCTTCTGATTGGCTCACAGACCTGTTGTTACTAGAGCTCCAGAGAGAAGCCTGAGAGAGGAGATGCAAAACTACACTGAGATGGTTTTTGGTTCTTAAAACCACAAATATATCTTCTTATGGATCAACACTTCAAATAAAACACAGAAGAAGAGGAAAATATGGAGCTTTAAGTGATGAGCACTAAATACTGATCCGGGATCTGGTCCACAAAATAGAAAAACTAAGTTCAGAAGTTTAATTTTCCAGCTTACAAAGGAAAACAACATACATTGGACATGAGAGCCAATGCCAGTTCTCACCCACAAATAACATACATACACACACGTGAGGTTCAGGAGTCACATGCGACTGTGGTTCAGACTGTGGGATTCAACTATTATCATCAGTTGACAGCCAAATATATTTATATATTCACATAGCAGAGAGACTCTGGTGGAATCTGGGCCAGAGCGGCCCGAAGCAAAGCAGTGACCATGGGTCAAATTTAGCCCCACAGAAAAGTTTTACTCACTTTCCCAGGGGTCACATAGAGTCATCTGTCACTGTTTTGTATTTTTGGTTTTATTCTGGGGGCAAAGCATGAAACAGCAGCTACCAGTTTCCACAGCAGACGTTTTGCCTTAAAAGCACAGGTGTTACTGTTGACATGAACATTGGCTCTGTTCTATTCATAAGCCGTGATGCACAACACCACGACCTTGAATAAATGGAATTGACCGCATCATTTATTTCATTATTTACACCTGTGCTTTTCCTGCCGCGTGCTGCACTGTTGTGTCTGAATGAAGGGCAGGTTAATGGGTTGACTGCCTCTGGCCTCTCCTCTGCCTACCTGCTGCCAAACCTGATCCTGTCCAAGTCGACCTTGTTTTCACCCGACCTGTTGAATCTGCCTCTGGCTCTACACTCTGGTTAGTAGAGACCACTGATGGAGAAAGTATCAGATGTTTTACTTAGTGAGTAAAAGTAGCACTCCACTAAAAGTCCTGAGAGTAAAGGTATTAGCAGCAAGATGTAATTAAAGGTCCCATATAGTATAAAGGTCTGTGTCCATGTGTAGTGTGATTATAGATCAGGTCTAGCTTCTATATTAACACTGTGAAAGTATCAAAGCCTCAGTCCACAGAGAAATGCACACAGCCTGTATTCAGAAACTGAGCCTTAAAACCAGCTGTCAGGACTTCTGGAACTTTGTGATGTCACAACAAAGCAGTCACCAAGCCCCGCCCACCTGGACCCACCATCCAAACCTTGCAGGATTTGGTTTCTCTAAGTGTTTTACCTGAAATCTGCCACGTTTTTTATTGAATCACTCAAAAACAGTGAGCCAATCAGAAGAGAGGCTCAGAGCCTCCTCTCTTTAATGTTTCTTAAAACCACAAATATATCTTCTTATGGATCAACACTTCAAAATAAAACACAGAAGAGGAGGAAAAGATGGAGGTAGAAGAGCATACCATGGAAATACTCAGATAATTATAAGTACCTCAAATCTGTACATAAGTACTTGAGTAAATGTATTTAAGTAGGTATTAAAACTACAACACCACACATCCTGTGTGTTCAGGTCGACTTTTGAACAACCACATCAAAACTCTTCTGTAGTTTCTGTGTGACTCTAAATGAAAACGTAAAAAAACGATGCATGTGCTGACGCTGTGTCACATTCCTACATTTAAAGCTCTTATATTTATTTTCTTTGCCTCCAGCCTTGACATGACAGAAAACATGTCAACAGTCTGGATGCTGTAGCGCTCGTCTGCTTTAAGCCCCTTTTCACATCACGTCTGTGTTTGTCCATTAACGGCGTTCCTCTCTGTGATGGGATTTGAAGACGTCTCTCAGGAACCTCGCCGCCTGTGATCTCAGGTGACCTCAACATGCCGCTGAAATGTGTTCTGCAGTTACTCACATCTCCAGTTCAAATACGACCAAAACAAGACTCTGGTAGAGGTTAACGTCACTTTTAAACACGGGCTCTAGGAAAAGACAGTAAACATTAATCCGTATTTACATCTAAGTGAGATAAATACCTCCAAACGTATTACTTCTTCTTCAGTGGTTAGATAAAAAGCAGTAACAAGGTCTCCACAGAGCTGAATGTGATTAGGTTTTCTGTTCCTCTCCCCTGCATCACTGTCACCACCACTACCTTAACTCACTTCCTGTGGAAAATATGGACGTTTAAGTGCTTGCAACAGCTGTTCTCTCTGTAACATCAGGATGAGCTCATGCTTGAAAATCCGCATCATGAAAAACATAAAGTGAACACGGCAGATAATCGAGTCTGGTACAATGTTAAACCTGCAC